CTTCACCCGGAGCGATACGATGGCCGACCCGAATGGCTGATACCTGTTCATAAAGGGAACGGTAGCCCAGAAGACATACACATTCGCATATACGCCCCAAAGACCAAACAGGCGAAATTCCTCCACAATACACTCCTCAAACTCGCCAACTTCACGGAAGGAGCCCTCATAGTGGGGGGAGACTTTAACACACCCCTAGACCCAATCTCAGATTCGTCAACAGGACATAGCAGTATCCCGCAAACAGCCATCCGGACGATCCGGAAGACTGTACGTGACCTGCGACTTGTGGATGCATGGAGAATCTTACACCCGGATGATCGGGTCTACACGCACACTACTCGGCCATGCACCATAGGTACTCCAGAATAGATTATCTCTTTATCCAGAAAGAAGGTCTACAAAGACTACTGGAGGCGGAAATCCGCCCTACTCCGTGGTCAGATCATAGCGCGGTATACATGCTTGTGGATTCAACCGTATACAAACCAACCCGGACTACCTGGCGATTAAATGAATCGCTCCTCTCCGACGTAACGATACAGGCACAGCTAGTGGAACAACTGAATAACTACTTCACTGAAAACGAAACCGGAGATACCTCCGCACTGACCCTGTGGGAGGCGCACAAGAGCGTCCTCAGGGGGCTTCTCATTCGGATATCAGCGCAGAAAAATAGGGAAGCACAACATGACGGCAACGCTGGCGGCAATGGGCCTGGATCACGCCACTCTACACCGACCCAACTGCCAGAGTGCTTGTAAACGGAGCGCTTATCGACAGCTTTGAAATCCACAATGGCACTAGACAGGGCTGCCCATTGTCCCCCCTTCTTTTTGCCCTCACTTTGGATCCGTTCCTGGACAGGATAAGACAGATACCAGAGATACGGGGGTTCAAACAGAAAGACCAGATACATAAGGTGGCCGCGTATGTGGACGACATGTTCTTTTTCGTTGCAGAGCTTCAGACCACACTGCCAGCCCCTCCTGGGTGAGTTCGAGCGATATGGACGGATATCAGGATTTAAGCTAAACCAAGAAAAATGTGAAATACTGGCAGTACGCACCGCAAGGAACACACAGGTGAGGCTCCAACAAAATTACCCTTTCCACTGGTGCATGGAACAGATTCGCCACCTGGGAATATGGCTCCCCCGCAACCCGGACAAAACACACACCAGGAATTACACACCCCTCCTTCGCAACATACTGAAAGACCTGAAGAAATGGTCGTACAACCACATCTCCTGGCAAGGTCGCATAGCGGTGATCAAAATGAACATCCTCCCCCGCCTTCTCTATTGCTTCACACCATCCCCTTGCACCTGCCACCTGACTTTTTTACCAAGCTCAAAACAGCGGTAACAAAATATGTCTTGAGAGCAGGAAGGCCGAGGCTCAGACACAACAGATTTTGCCTGCCCAAACCATGGGGCGGCCTGGCTTTGCCGGACTTTCGGAAGTACTTCCAAGCAACAGTGCTCCAGAGGATTCGAGAATGGCACACGGCCCCCTCTAACAAATTGTGGGCTAGTCTGGATAGGGAAAGCACAAACAGGACACTGCACGCATACATCTGGCACCGCTCGACAGGGGTCGCACACGCTCTGGGTGTGGAATCCCCCATTACGCAGACGCTAAATTTATTTATTTTTAACTGCTAATAAAAACGCTATTTAAAAAAAAAAGAAGTTGCTTCTGGCAGTGGAGATCATGGGGACACTGAACTGATCTGTGGCTTTACAGCTCTATATGCAGCAAGCTGAAAATCACTGTGTGTTCAGACTCTTTTCTGTCATGGCCAGCATTAAGCTTTTCAGAAATTTGAGCTACAGTAACTCCTCTGCTGTGTGATCGGACCACAAGGGCTAGCCTTTGCTTCACACATGCATCAGTGAGCCTTGGGCAACTACGACCCGGACACCGGTTCACTGGTTGTCTTTTCTTGCACCACTTTTGGTAGGTGCTACCAAAAGTGGTGCAAGGAAAGAATTGCTGTTTTGGAGATGCTCTGACCCTGTCGTCTAGCCATCACTATTTGGCCCTTGACAAAGTCACTGAGATGTTTTCACTTGCTCATTTTTCATGCTTCCAACACATAAAATTTACTGACTGTTTACTTGCTGCCTAATATATCCTACAGCTTGACAGGTGCCGCTGTAACCATATAATCAATGTTATACACTCCACCTGTTGTGGCTGATCAGTTTAATTGTTAATGCAAATCAACTTTGTTAATAAATCTACATAATTTTTTTTTCTTATATTTGCTTTCTCTCAGTGAAAAAGATCCCTGCTTACTACAACGTTTTTACACACCACTTGTTGCAACTGGTAGGCAAAGGAAATTATTGTTTTACTGTAAGAACAATAAGGATGAGAAATTCTCTGCCAGAAGAAGTGGTTTTATCAGAGTCTGTACAGATTTTCAAACAGCAATTAGATGCATACTTGCAAAAACAAAATATTCAATTATATAATTTTTCAACTGTAGGGTAATAGCTTCTTGATCCAAGGATACATCTGACTGCTACTTGGGGGTCAAGAGGGATTATGTTTTTCCTAGTTTGTTGGGTTTTTTTTGCCTTCATTTGAATCACCAGCAAAAAACAAATGTGAGGAAGGCTGAACTTGATGGACACGTCTCTTTTCAGCCTATGTAACTAGTAAGCAAGCCGCCTGGGCAGATGATTCTGGGAAAATGATTAGCATTTCTTGAACTATTATCCAGGTAAGCAGCTGTTTTTTAAGTTCTTATACCGAGTGCAAGTTATATTTAACATCTTTAAGGTGAACTAAAATAAAAATTGCAAATGATGCTAATGCGTTGTGTGACTAATACTTCATATAATCAGCAGCAATAAATATGCAGCATTTTTTTACGTCCCTTCTCCACAAGGATGGGTAAGAATGTTTGGCATGCTAAACACAGACATAGAAAGAATTACATAAAGAAATGTGTCTTACAGGACTTCAACTGAAAAAAACAAACTCAGGATGAGTAACAGCTGATGCATATTCAAAGAACACAGAGTAATTGATTCGTGCCCTGGTGTAAAGTCTCATTCAATGCAACAAAGCACTTCATATTATTATATTCATATTATTTTGTTAGATGTGCAAATAATTATACTAGACATTCACTCACACTGCTGTAATTTCTCTTAAGCGAGTGAGATTTATTTACATTATTATATTTCCTCAGGATTTCTATACATTAATTCAGTCATATTTTGCAAGCAGTGATAATTAGTTAATACATCTTTCACGTAGCATTTTAAGGAGAGCAAGTTGTCTGTAAACGTTATATGGTTTGAATTATATCTTGTTTTTGAGGGGGGGTTCTTTCTACATTCTTTAATTGTGTGATCTACATCATACCACTCTATACTATTATTACTTTTATTTTTTTATTATTTATATAGCGCC